GGCTATTTTTTGGTTGCACCCGTCATTGTTGTTTGGCGGGTCCGGGCTGGGGATTCAAACCCACCACCTTAGGTGTACGTGGCTGGTGCCTTAGCCGGTTGAGCTATAGGCGCCGAGCCTCCCCTTCTGTTTAATTCCTCCTGTCCTCTTCCCTTTCTCTGCTTCCACAGGTAGTAGGAGGCCAAGCCAGGGGAACAGACGTTCAGGATTGCAGGTGTCTTAGCCACTTCACTACCCCTTGGGCTGCTATTGTTCTTGCCCTCAGCATTTATTCCCTCTTGGCTTGGAGAACAGCCAAGTGCTGAGGCCTCCTTTGCTCTTCCCCACTCCCTCTCCTGGGGTAGAGCATCATGATGGAAAGCGGAGCCATGGTCAGTGGTGATGGTTTTGAGGGGTGAGACAGGGACCCCTCTCCTACCTGGGCTGGAGGCTGCTGTGAGCTGCAGGCTGGGGCCATCGAAGGAGTAGTTGCCCTCTTCCAGCGGGCACACATCAAGCTTGTCCCACTTGGCGAGCAGCTGGAGCCAGCCTGCCCGCTCCTCTGGTTTGCAGTGGGGGCTCAGGATGACACAGACCCACAGGGCCCCTGAAGAGGCATGAGGGAGGCTCAATATTCATGCCAGTAGCAGCACCAGCAGCACATGCTTGCAGAGCACTCTGTGACAGGTACTGGTCTGCTTAACTCTCACCTTGTTCCTCTGGGATTGCAACTCATGGCCTTTTTTCACTTTATAGGTGAGGCACAGAGAGGTAGCACCACTTGTTTAAGGTCACACAGCTGGTGAGTTAGAAGTCAGGATTCACCTGCAGCTAACTAAACCGACCACGTTCCTTTCCTCATGGGGGCCTGGTCTGCAGTGGCTGCAAACAGCAGCCTCCTCAGTAGTGTATGCAGCTTGTTGCTTGTATGGATTGCTCTAAGGCAGTGGTTCTTAACCTTCCTAATGCTGCAACCCTTTAATACAGTTCCTCATTTTGTGGTGACCCCCAACCATAAAATTATTTTCGTTGCTACTTCATAGCTGTAATTTTGCTACTGTTATGAATCATAATGTAAATATCTGATATGCAGGATATATTTAGGCAACCCTTGTGAAACGGTCGTTTGACCCCCAAAGGGTTCGCAACCCACAGGTTGAGAACCACTACTCTAAGGGACCTTGTAGACATTCCTTTCCAATATATGTTCATGTGTTAGACCTTGTGCTGTCTCCAATCTAGGCTCCAGACATGTATGTGTGGTGCAAAAGCCCTAGGGCACTGCGGCCAGGTTTCACATTGGCTAAGTCATCATGTCCATCGCACCAAACTACAGAACAAGGAGCATGTGATTGAGGCCCTAAACAGGACCAAGTTCAAGTTCCCTGGCCACTAGATGCTTCACATCCCCAACAAGTGGGGTTTTACCAAATTTAATGCAGATGAATTTGAAGACATGGTGGCTGAGAAGAGGCTTATCCCAGACGGCTGTGGGTTCGAATACATTCCCAATTGTGGCCCCCTGGACAAGTGGTGGGCCCTGTACTCAGGAGGATTTATACTGTGTTGCCTATAATCTGCACCTACCAATAATAAATCCTACTTCCTGCCCCCAAATAAAAAATATCAGGATTCAAATCCAGGCTGCTAGATTTTTCTCAACGTCTTAAAACATTTTTTTTTCTGAAGCACTTACCACCCTTTTACATAGGCGAGCAAACCAGCAAACTACTGCTCATGAAGAAACTTGAACTTACCACATTTTTGATCAGCCTGCAAGCTAAGATTTATTTTTACATCTAAAAATATTTTTAAAAAATGGTGTGTGTAGAGAAACCTAAAGAATATTTTGCAACTTGTGGAAATTGTATGAAATTCAAATTGATAAATAAAGCATCTATAAATAATGTTATTTTCCTTTTTCAAGAGACGGAGTCTCATTATGTTGCCCAGGCTGGACTTGAACTCCTGGCTTCAAGTGATACTTCTGCCCTGCCTCAGTCTTCCAAGTATCTAAGACTATAGATGCATGCCACTGTGCCTGGCTCTTAAATAAAATTTTTTTTTTTTTTTTTTTTTTGAGACAGAGCCTCAAGCTGTCCCCCTGGGTAGAGTGCCATGGCATTACAGCTCACAGTAACCTCCAACTCCTGGGCTCAAGCGAGTCTCCTGCCTCTGCCTCCCAAGTAGCTGGGATCACAGGCGCCCGCCACAATGCCTGGCTATTTTTTGGTTGCAGCCGTCATTGTTGTTTGGTGGGTCCGGGCTGGGGATTCGAACCCACCACCTTAGGTGTACGTGGCTGGCGCCTTAGCTGGTTGAGCTATAGGCACCAAGCCTTAAATAAAATTTTATTGGAATGTTATCACGGTCATTTGGTTATGCATGACTGGCTGCTTTATCTTTTTTCTTTTCTTTTGAGACAGGATTTCACTCTGTTGCCCAGGCTGGAATGCAGTGGCATCATCATAGTTCATAGTGGCAGCCTCATGAGGGTTGAAATCCTTCTGCCTTCGCCTCTTGAGTAACTGTGACTTTAGGCACATGCCACCACACTGCTAATTTTTGTGTATGTGCGTGTGTATGTATATATATATATGTCTACATATATATATACACACATACATATATATTTAAATATATATTTATATATAAATATATATGTATGTGTGTATATATATACTGTATATAGTATATACATATACTGTATACTGTACCATACATATATGTATATGTATATATGTATACATATATACACAAAAATATATTTAAATATACATTTATATATGTATATATCTATGTGTATACATATATATGTACACACATAAATATATATTTAAATATATATGTAAATACACACATATATACACACACAAAATGATATATATACATATATATACATATTTTTTGTAGATACAAGGCCTTACTATGTTGTTCTGGCTGGTCTTGAACTCCTGACCTCAAATAATCCTATTGCCTCAGCCTCCCAAACTGCTGGGATTATAGGCATGAGACACTGTGCCTAGCCTTTTATACTATCTGGAGCAAAGTTGAGTAGTTGAGACAGAGACCAAATGGCTACAGAGCTGGTAAAATTGACTCTCTGGTCCTTAGAACCTGTGTCTTCTGTCAAAATGAGGAGTTTTTCAATTAAACGGAACAAAAAAGTTTTTTTGTTTTTTTGAGACAGACTTTCACTTTGGTACCCCCGGTAGAGTGTTGTGGCGTCATAGCCCACACCAACCTCAAACTCCTGGGTTTAAGTGATTATCTTGCCTCAGCCTCCCAAGTAGCTGGGACTACAGGTGCCCTCCACAACACTCGGCTTATTTTTAGAGATGAGGTCTCACTCTGGCTCAGGCTGGTCTCAAACCTATGAGCTCAGGCAATCCACCGCCTTGGCCTCCCAAGTGCTGGGATTATAGGCGTGAGCCGCCACACCTGGCCCAAGAAAAAGTTTTTATCATCTGTCTCCCCTACTGATGACAGCTGTAAGAAGGCAGGATTTTCTCTCTCTTGTTTTCTGCTGGCGCTCTAGTGCCCAATACAGTGCCTGGCACACTGATGGTGCTCAAAAATATTTATCAAATGAATAAATGGAGAGTGGATTCAGGGAACAGACCCTAATTTTGAGGCAGGCAAGACCCCTGGGAGTTAGCAACCCGGTGTCTACCACGCACCGGGGTTTGGGCCTCACCCAGCTCGTCCCAGAGCTGCCGGCACTTGTCCGTCATGCCTGCACCCTGCTGTCGCCACAGAGCCAGGCGTGGGTCCTGTAGGAACTGCTCGGTCATAAGGATCAGCATGCGTGCCCCGTTGGAGTCCCGCATTCTTAGCATCTCCCGCACCTGTGCCAGGGACAGGATGGTGAGGAGGGGGTGGGGCGCCAGGGCCTTCTGAGACCCATGCCTGCCACGCCCACACAGCACCTTGCTGAACATGGAGCGCAGCTGCTGGCTGGCCCCATAGTAGCCACCATTGGACAACAGCTGTTTTACTTGTTCCTGGATCTGCTCCTCATCCAGGTGCCAGCAGTTGGCATCCTCAATGCCTGCACCCGCTGTGGGGTCTGGGGCACCTGCAGGGAGGGAGGGAAAGAAAGTCGAGGCTGGGGCTGGGCTTGGGGTGGGAAGAAGAGGTGTCTCCCCTGCCATCTGTGAATTCCTCCAAATCATCCAACCCATCCCAAAGTTCCATCCTTCCCACCTACACACATTCATCTGTTTGTCCATCTCATCCAGACATTCGTCCATCTATCTAACCATTCACCCACCTGTCCTGCCCAAAACACCACCAGCTCATTCATCCATTTACCCAGTCTTCCATTTAGTTATCAAGCCAATCCATTCATCTGAAATACTACCCCATCCATTTAGTCATTCAGCCATCTCACCTGAAAAACCACCCGCCCATCTGCCTGTCCATCCCACCCACCCAACCATCCATCCATCTACCCATCCTGCCCCAAATACCACACTCATTCATTTGTTTACTCATTCTTCCATTTAGTTAGTTATCCATCTAATCCATTCATCTACCTCATGTGAAGCATATATCCATCTACCCATCCATCTTCATTTTGCCCAAAACACCACCAGCTCAGTCATCCATTTAGTCATTCATTCAGTTCACTCATCTATCTTACCTGAAACACCACCACTCCATTCTTCCCCACCCATGTCACACTAGCCTCTCTCCATATATCCATGTCCCATGTCAGTTCATCCACACATCCATTCTCCTCACACAACTACCTATGCATCAGTCCACCATCTACTCTACCCATCATGCCCATTTGCCCACCTATCTATATACTCAGTGCATTGATCCATCCCCCATTTATCTTTCCATCATGTGAACTAACCACTTAAAATACCCACCCTCCCATTCATCTGTCAACCCACACAACCATGCTATCCACCCATCCAACTCTCTCTTCCTCCTTCATTAAGCCATACATTCTTATCGACCTCTTAAAACAGCCACTTTACACAAAGCTCTCACCCACTCTGCCCACCTGCCCTGTTGGCCCAAACTATAAGAACCTTCCATACGCCCCTCAACTCACTCACAACTGATGTACCCATTGATTCCTCCATTCTTCCACTAACCCCTCCTGTCTGCCACCATCACTCCAATCAATGTCCCCGATCCAAGCCATTTTCATACAACCACCCTTCCCTACCTCTAATGCCTGCTAATTCTGATTCACCTACTCACTCGACCACTCACCCAATTCATTTTCCCACACCATTGGGTCACCCCACTGCCTTATCATGAACATATTCAGTGTCCATCCAGACTGACCCTCAATATTCCCAGATGCCTCCACCCATTACTCATCTTCCTAGGACCCTAGCAAGGTGTCCTTGGAGCCTCCAAACCCTTCCTGTCCTCACAATACCTCCTGGTATATCCCCCTGTCCATACCTCACCCCTGACACCCATGAATGTCCACATATCCACGCTGCTCCTGTGATCTCTGGGGCCCTACCTTCCACTTGTTCTCTAACATAGGCCCTCCTGCCCTCTCCCTCTGGTTGTGCCTATTTCCAACCACTCATCTGCTCCAGAGCCAGATTATACTTGGGATCTGCCTCTCCCCAGGAGGCTGACCTTAGATGATGCAGGGCATGGCACTCCCCACCCATCATACATAATGAGGATTACCTACAAGTCCTAGAGGCTACAGCAAGCAATGTGGCAGTTTATTAGGGGCTCCGATACCCCAGGGGAAACAAAGCCGGGTGTCCTTACCGTGCACTAGGTTAATCTCGGAGCCTAGCAGGAGGATCTCATCGGCCAAGCGCTGAGCAGTAGGCAGCACCTCGGTATGGTGGGCACTTATCAAGTATTGCACGAACTTCTGCAGCTGGTCCCGGTTCATCTGGGAGAGCGTCTCTGAGATGGGTAGCCGCAGCTCGACCTGGCGCGCGTGCCGGATGCGGTACAGCGACAGCGCCACCACGTGGGCGCAGTAGAAGAGGTCGTGGTTGTCGCAGCCGCAGCTCACAGACGTGATCTTGCAGCGATCAAAGCTGATGGAGACATGGAACACACTCTCCGGCTCTCCAGGGCCCCCTGACTCCCGGATGTTTCCGCTGAGGTGGAATCCTACAACCAAAGCCAAGCTGTCGTGTCCATGTCACCTCAAGTGTTCCTCACGGACAGGCGCGGAGTAACTGGGCATGTGAGCCACTTCTTAACCAATCAGAATAATAGCAACATCCTCCTCATGCGGTTGTAATAGGAATTAAAGGAGTTAATACTTGGAAAGCGCTTACAATACTGTTGGCATAAAGTTAAGTGCTAAGTAAACACTTGTTCTTATTCTAATTATGAATAATATTATTATAGCCACAATGTTAGAGATGTTTTCCTCAGCCCTTGGTTACCATGGATACAGCCGAGGCTGGAGAGACCCGTAAACTTCCTGGTAGATACCAAAGGCCTGTAACACTGGGGAACCAGGGGCTTATGGTGTGGGCTGATGAAATGTGTGGCCCCTTCACCCCTTTGCCCCTCCCAGGCCCTGGGCAGCTCAGGTGCAGGGCTCATCCGACTGGTTGGGCAGCTTAGGCCCAGCCTGTGTCATGCCAGGAGATGGCTTCCTCATACTGGCTGGAAATGACCAGAGGGAGCCTGCCTAGGCCATGTGCAGGGAAGGCAGCTCCAAGGCGGACAGGGCCCACAGAGGGTCATCTTTGCTGAGCCCTGGCGTCCAGCTGGGAGATATGACCTGCTGCCCCCGTGGTCTGGAGTCCCAGTCTTTGTTGTTTTCTGGCTCAATATCTATTGGTCATCACCTTTTTTTTTCTTCTGAGACAGGGTCCCACTATTTCGCCCTAGGTAGAGCACGGTGGTGTCAAAGCTCACAGCAACCTCGGACCCTTGGGCTTAAGCAGTTCTCTTGTCTTAGCCTCCCAAGTAGCTGGGACTACAGGTGCCCACCACAATGCCTGGCTTTTTTTTGTTGTTGTTGTTGCAGTTGTCATTGTCGTGTAGCAGGCCCCTGCTGGGTTCGAACACTGCCAGCCTCGGTGTATATGGCCCACACCCTAACCACTGAGCTATGGGCCCTAAGCCTCTACTGGTCCCTTTCTGAGCCCTGCTGCCTTTTCCTCTCCTCGACCTTACATCTCCCTCAATCTGGGCCCTGCAACTCTTTCCTTCTAGTTCATAACCTTCCCCCAAGCCTGACTTGGACCCCACTGCCTGAGGTCTGAGGTCTAGGATCAGTTTTCACCTCCAGTTCTAAACTTCTGCACCCTACCCTCACCCGAACACTGCCACCTGAGGTCTAAGACCACCCCTTACAGTTATTCCTAAATTTCTACTCTCCATTCCCACCTAAGCCCCCATCCCTCACTGAGGCCTGAGTTCTAAGACCATCCCCTCCACAATGTCTCTAAGCCTTAGAAATCTCAACCTCTACTTGAAGTCTAAAACTAACTCTCACTTCTGGCACTAAGTCTTTGTGTTCAACTCCCACCTGGGCGCCACTGCCTGAGGACCATTCTTAAAGACAGGGTATTGCTCTGTCACCTAGGCTGAAATGCAGTGGCTCGATCATAGTTCACTGTAACCCCGAATTCTTGGGCTTTCTGCTTAGTTTCCTGAGTAGCCAGGACTACAAGTATGTGCCACCATGCCTGGCTAATTAAAAATTTTTGTTTGGGGCCCAGCACAGTGGCTCATGCTTGTAATCCTACCACTCTGGGAGGCCCAGGCAGGTGGATTGCCTGAACTCACCAGTTTGAGACCAGCCTGGCAAAAATGAGACCCTCTCTCTACTAAAAATAAAAAAGCAGAAGCAGGAGGATGGCTTGAGTCCAATAGTTGGAGGTTGCTGTGAGCTATGATGCCATGGCATTCTACCTAGGGCAACTTCTTGAGACTATTTAAAAAAATTTTTTTTTCTTTCTGTTTGGGCCAGGTGTGGTGGGTCATGCCTGTAATCCTAGCACTCTGGGAGGCTGAGGAACTGGACTGCCTGAGCTCATGGGTTCCAGCAAGAGTGAGACCCTGTCTCTAAAAACAGCCAGGTGTTGTGGCGGTCGCCTAGTCCCAGCTACTAGGAAGGCTGAAGCAAGAGGCCAGGAGACTGAGGTTGCTGTGAGCTATGATGACACAGCTCTTCTCCCAGGGCAACAGAATGAGGTTCTGTTTTCCAAACAAACAAACAAACAAACAAACAAAAAAAGATTTGTTTGTAGAAACTGGGTCTTACTATGTTTCCTAGGCTAGTATGCAGCTCTTGGCCTCAAGAGATCCTTCTGCCTCCACCTCCCAAAGTGCTGGGATTACAGGTGTGAGCCACTGCACTGAACCTTAGGAACATTTTTTTTTTTTCAGAGTCTCACTTGGTCACCGTGGGTAGAGTGCGTTAGCATCTTAGATCATAGCAACCTCAAACTCTTGGGCTCAAGTAATCCTCTTGCTTTAGCCTCCCAAGTTGCTGGACTACAGGCTCCTGCCACAACGCCCAGTTATTTTTTAGAGATGAGGTCTCCCTCTAGCTCAGGCTGGTCTCAAACTTGTAAGCTCAGGCAATCCACTTGCTTCGGCCTCCCTGAGTGCTGGGATTATAGGCTGGCATTATAAGCGGACCACTGTACCTGGCCTGCTTAGGAGCATTATTAACTCTAGGTCCAAATCTCTGCCCAAAGCACCACTGGGTCCCTCTGCCTGGGGCCTGGACTCTCCTTTCACTTATAGTTGACAGTTATCCCTTTGACCCTCCCCTGGGACCTGCTATCTTCCCTTTCTCACCACCTTTTCCCTTATTCCCCAACTCAACTGTCTGAGGTCTAGGACTCTAGGAGCTGTTTTCACCTTTAGTTCATAATCCAGAATCCAACCCCGTCTAGGTCTGAAGCCTGAGATCTAGAACTTCCTCTCCCCTGGCCCAGGCATCCCTGGAACTGCTTCTGTTCCAGGCCTGTTCTGGACCTCCTGGCCTCCCTGATAGGGATGGGGGCAAACACTCACCCACTTGCAGGACACGGTCTACGGCCCCACTCTGCAGCAGGTGCAGCCCATGGGTGAAGGGGACCCGGGCATCATGCTCGCCCTCTGGAGGCTGATAGCCCAGAGATGAGTACATACATATTTCCCGCTCGCTGCGTGGAAATGACCAGAACACGATGCGCTTCTGGACTGGCTCAGGCACCCGGGAGAACCGCTCCTCGACCTGCAGGGAGGGCAGGTAGGTTAGAAACCTGGGTTTGAATCTTAGCTTTGCCATTTACGAGTAGTATGACCCTGGGCAAGTCATTTGGCCTAAGTCTCAGTTATCTCAAGTATAAAATGGTACCCACCTCCTGAGCACTGGGAAGATTAAATATGCATTAATGGAGCTTACAATAACACCTGGCCCAGAGTTAGCATTCTACAATCTTCTATTGCTTCTTTGCAGGATGCCAGGTCCCAGGGTCCTGGTGTAAGATTCCCCTCCTCCCCAGGCTTTGAAGGAACAGGAGGAAGTTAGACAAAAATGATAATAACAATTAAGGTGGGCAGCACCTGTGGCTCAGTGGGTAGGGCGCTGGCCCCATATACCGAGAGTGGTGGGTTCAAACCCACCCCCAGCCAAACTGCAACAAAAAAATAGCCGGCGTTGCGGCAGGCGCCTGTAATCCCAGCTACTAGGGAGGCTGAGGCAAGAGAATAGCCTAAGCCCAGGAATTGGAGGTTGCTGTGAGCTGTGATGCCACAGCACTCTACCAAGGGTGATAAAATGAGACTGTCTCTTAAAACAAACAAACAATTAAGGTACACTCTTTGTTAGCATAAACCATGCTAAATGTTTTGCATATGTGACTTCCCAATTCTCAAAACAACTCAATGAGCTGATACTAAATCAGCTATAACCTATGTCATAGCTGAGGGAATCTGAGGATCAGAGGTGAGATGAATTCACCTGTTCAGGGTCCCAGAGCTAGCAAATTATTTCACCTCTCAAGACAGGCTCCACCCGTCCTCTCTCTGGCTGTCCCCTGGGAAGGGTTCTCAGGAAGGGAAGGGTGTCCTAGTCATCCCTGTGGGCTCAGGGCAATGGAATGAGCTGGTTAAGCCTGTGTTTCTATCTGGGCTTGCTATTCACTGTCTGGGTAACATTGGGCAAGTTTCTCAACCTCTCTGTGCCACAGTTTCCTGAAAGTAGGAACAAGAATAACAACTCCTAAAGGGTTACGGAGGATTCCATGACCTTCTGCAAATCAAAAGCTTTCTTAGCTTCCAGCCTGGCCCGGGAAGGTACATGGGAGCCCTGGAGATGGTTTTGGGATTATTCTGTGTAAGTCACACACAATAAAGTGACAGCCTCCACTTCTACCTTGGTTTCTGGGGGAAGTGGGAGGGCCAGTGACCAGCCCAGGCCCTGGGGACAGTTGGCAGATGACTAAGGAGGGATTTTCCAGTCCATGAATCAGAGCCTGCCCCATGTACATTTGGCTCAAACCCATCGGTTCCAGCTGACTTCCTAACTCCAGAGAAGCCAGGGAGCTAGGGTCTGAGCCCCATCTCCAGCTTCTTAGACACTCACCCTGAGGCTAGGAAAGGGCCCCAGCCTTGGGACAACCTGGCAGCCACTCCAGAAACTAGGCAGGCAGGGTCCCAAGCACCTGTTTGAGTACCACCACTCAGGCCTCACTCGAGACCAACCTCCAGAAGGATTAGGATGGCTGAACAGAGAGTGAGCCGTGGAGGAGGGTAGAGGGACCCTGGAACTTGAGTCATTTCTACTGCTATATAGGAGGGTTTGGGAAACCCCAGGTGGGTGGGTGGGATCTGGAGGAGGAGAAGGGGGCCTCAAGGAACAGGTGAGTTCTGGGGGCTTGAGGGCAGGGAAGAGAGGGAAATAAAGGGGAGTCAAGCTGGAAAGATGGGAAGTTTTCTATGTGAGGTGCAAGACAGGAATGTGGAGAAGCAGGTATAGGGGCGCATTCTTTTCTAGAGGTTAAGATGGGGAAGATGGGTCTGTAAGTGGGGTCAGCTTGTAGGAGCTGGAGAGGGGAGCGAGGATTGTACAGGGCACCCTTACTGGGGGAGAGGAGAATGTGGGGAAACAGGGGTAGCGGAAGTTTGGGGAGGACGCCAGGGGATTTGGTTCCAGAGAACTGAGGAGGGAGGAGAAGGAAGTGTCCTGAAGTGGGGTCTGGGGCGCTGAGGGGCAGGATGGCAAAAAGGGAATGGGGCGGCTCTTAGAGTTTGAAGGACAAAAATAAGATAAGTGGGTGTTTCGGGGCAAGATTAAGGATCTTGGGGGAAAGATGGAATCTCAGAGAGTGTCTCCGGTGGGGAGTTGACCGGGAGTCTGGTTGGACAGAGGTGGGACACAGGCCTGGGAAAGAACTGGGGGTGCGTTCCTCCTCCTCCCGCTTCCCGCCTCGGTCACCTGCTCAAAGGCCCAGCTTTCGGCTACTCGTTTGGCACTGAGGTCCAGCAGTGCCTCGGGCCGGCCCCGGCCGCGCGCGGCCCCTGCCCCAGCATCGCGTTCCTCCGGTCTCGCTGGGCAGCCCCGGCTCCGCTTGGCCGCTGGGGGGTCCATCCGGCCCGGCCGGGGCCGGGGCGGGGCCTGCTGGGGGGGGTCCGTCCGATGCCCGCTTCGCTTCACGGTCTCCTGTACCCCCTGCCCTCCTTCCCGTCCTTTCTCCGCGTTCGGCCGCCCCGGGACCCCCGCCGCACCCACCCCAGCCCTGCGCCGGGCCGGCTGGGTGATGCGGCCCCTTTAAGACTCTTCACAACAATGAAGCTGCCTTGGCCGCCGCTTTAGCTCCGCCGTCGTCCCACCCCGGCCGCCTTTCCCCATTGGACCCCTCGGATCTTCCACTTCATTGGCTGCTCTGCCAGACCCATCTCCAGGCTTTTGCTTCTCATTCGATAGCTGAGATGCCAATCTTTTTGGATCAACCCAATGAGGGCGCGTAGTGAGCGCCGCTGTCAATCACGGAGCCCCAGAGACCAATCACAGCCGGAAGACCTCCACGGCAGGCCTTTTGCAGAGTTTCGGGGCGGACCCTGGATTCATTCACAACATTCCTCCCCCGCCCCCTCTGGCTGGACAGCTTACCCCGGGCAGCTGGGGCTGCGCCCACACACGGCTTTGTTTATTGAGGATAGCTTCCGGGCGCCGCGAAGGGACAATCAACTCAACCTAGCCAGTGAGCAAGACGGAGCAGCGGGATCGCCGGCAGCGGCTCAGCCTCAGCTCTCTCCCGGATGTGTGACTTGAGAAACTCATTCAGCCTCTCTGTGCACCGAGTCGTTTTGATTCTTTAAGGAGTAGAGGGGTCACAGGCTCATTGGTATATCTCAGGCAGGTAGCGGATCCCCTTTTCAGAAAAAGAGCTCAATTACTGGGGTCATAGACCATCCCTCGAGCCCACCCATGAGTCTCGAGCTAGGAACCCCCACCATCCTTTCTATGCCCTAAATATTTGTGTTGTGTCGTGTGAAATTGCTAATTTTCAACCATTTTTGATTTATTAAAATAGCAATTTCAAAGATTTTATCTAACACATAACTAAATCCCACCACATCTGATCACTTTTTCTGACTCAACTTTTGCAGGTCTCTGGCTCCCAGTCCCCGTGAATGTCCTCGGAGAACCCTGCATTTTCCTTTCCTCATATGTCTCTCCACTATGGTTTATTTATCTCGTTCACAGGTTGTTTAATTTCTGTCTGTTTCTCTCTGGATTAAGAGCTCCACAAAACAGGAATTTGTCCTGTTCCCATCAACACCTGAAACAGCACCTGGCATACAGTAGGCGCTCAACTGATAGCTCGTTCAATGAAAAGATCTTGACAGCAGAAAAATCTACGCTAACCCCTAAGTAGCTTGATTGCGCTGCCTCAGTATTGAAACTGCAGCTTTTTCCCCGAAGAAACTAAATCTCACAGCTGCATCTTCTCGCCAGTCCCCATCACTCCCTCCATTCAGTAAACTTACCCCCAGATCTGTACTGCCCGGTAGGGTCACTACCGGCCACAAGTGGCCTTTAAGCCCTTCAAAAGGGACTGGCCTGAATTGGATTGTGCTGTAGAGGTAAAATACAAACGGGATGTCAGAGACTTAGTAGGAAAAAAAGGAAGGCAAAATATCTCATTAAGAATTTTTTGCCGGGCAAGGTGGTTCACGCTTGTAATCCTAGCGCTCTGGGAGGCTGAGGCGGATCACTTGAGCTCACAAGTTAGAGACCAGCTCTGAGCAAGAGCGAGACTCACGCAGCCGGGCGTTGTGTAGGGCACCTGTAGTCCCAGCTACTCAGAAGACTGAGGCAAGAGAATCACTTGAGCCCAAGAGTTTGAGTTCGCTGTGAACAATAACGCCACGGTACTGTACCCTAAGGTGGCTGTGTGAGACTTTGTCTCAAACAAACAAACAACAACAACAGAAAAAAAAAAAAAACGAAGAAGAGAAAGAATTTCTTGGAGCCAAGGACAGTGGCTCACACCTGTAATCCTTTTTTTATTTTTTTTGAGACAGGAGCCTCAAGCTGTCCCCCTGGGTAGCGTGCTGTAGCATCACAGCTCACAGCAATCTCCAACTCCTGGGCTCAAGCAAGTCTCCTGCCTCTGCCTCCCAAGTAGCTGGGACCACAGGCGCCTGCTACAATACCCAGCTATTTTTTTGGTTGCAGCCATCATTATTGTTTGGTGACCCGGGCTGGATTCGAACCTGCCACCTGGGTATACATGGCTGGCGCCTTAGCCACTTTAGCCAACAGGCTCGGAGCCCGCACCTGTAATCCTAACACTCTGGGAGGCTGAGGCAGGGAGATTGTTTGAGCTGAGGAGTTCATGACCAGCCTGAGCAAGAGCAAGACCCTCTCTACCAAAAATAAAAAATAAGCTGAGGATCGCTTGAACCCAGGAGTTTCAGGTTGCTGTGAGCTAGGCTGATGCCACAGCCCTTTAGCCTGGGCAACAGAGTGGGACTGTCTCAAAAAATCAAAAGAATTTCTTGGTCCAGGGCGGTACCTGTGGCTCAGTGAGTAGAACGCCAGCCTCATATACAGAGGGTGGCAGGTTCGAACCTGGCCCAGGCCAAACTGCAACAAAAAATATAGCTGGGCCTTGTAGGAGGCTGAGGCAAGAGAATTGCCTAAGCCCAAGAGCTGGAGGTTGCTGTGAGCTGTGATGCCATAACACTCTACCAAGGGCGACAAAGTAAGACTGTCTCTAAAAAAAATAAAAATTTCTTGGTCCAGGTATGGTGGCTTATACCTGTAACCCCAATGCTCTGTGAGACCAAAGGAGGATTGCTTGAGGTCAAGAGTTTAAGACCAGCTTGGGCAAGTGAGATCCTATCACTACAAAAAAATAAGAAAAATTAGCTGGGCATAGCTAGCTGTGTATGTTTGTAATCCCATCTACTTGGGAGACTGAGGCAGGAGTATCACTTGAGCCCAGGACTTCAAGGCTCCAGTGAACTATGATTTCGCCCCTCTACTTCAGCCAATGTAATATAGTGAAACCCTGTCTCCAAAAAATAAATTTAGAAAAATAATTATTATTTTTTATATTGCTGAGTGTGGTGGCTTACACCTGTAATTCCAGTGATTCAGGAGTCCAGGAGTTGGACACCAGCCTGGGCAACAGAGTAAGATCTCTGATTCTAAAAAATTATTTTTAGGCTCGGCGCCTATAGCTCAAGTGGCTAGGGTGCCAGCCACATGCATTGAAGCTGGTGGGTTCAAATCCAGCCTCGGCCTGCCAAACAACTACTACAACCAAAAAATAGCTGGGCGTTGTGGTGGGCACCTGTAATCCCAGGCTACTTGGGAGGCTGAGGCAAGAAAATTGCTTAAGCCCAAGAGTTTGCGGTTGCTGTGAGCTGTGACACCATGGCACTCTACCCAGGGTGACAGCTTGAGACTCTAATCTCAAAAAACAATAAAATTATTTTTAATATTAATTACATGTTGAAATTATATTTTAGAAAAATTTGGGTTAAATAAAATACATTATTTAAAATTGATTTTACCCGTTTCTTTTTATATGGTACCAGGGCATTTAAAAATATATATATATATATGATTAGTATATTTCTTTTCTTTTTTTTTTTTTAGAGACGGAGCCTCAAGCTATCCTCCTGGGTAGAGTGCCATGGCATCACACTCACAGCAACCTCCAACTCCTG